GTGTCAGTGAGCTGGATCACGTCACTGCACTCCAGCCTGGGCTGACAGAGCGAGACTACCTCTCAAAAAAAAAAAAAGAAAAAAAAAAGGAGATAACGTGAACCAGTATTTAATATCTTTTCCTGCCCGCCAAGTGGCTAATTTTTGTGTTTTTAGTAGAGACGGATACAGTCAGGGAGAGGAAACAGGGTGCTGGGAGAGATGTGGATGAAACCCGGAACGCTTTTACATGTTGGTGGTACTGTACGTTCTCCGCCTCCCAGGTTCACGCCATTCCCCCGCCTCAGCCTCCCAAGTAGCTGAGACTACAGGTGCCCGCCACCACGCCTGGCTAATTTTTTTTAATATTTTTATTTTTAGTAGAGATGGGGTTTCACCATGTTAGCAGGATGGTCTCGATCTCCCGACCTCATGATCTGCCGGCCACATCCTCCCAAAGTGCTGGGATTACACCGCGCCCAGCCTTTTTTTTTCTTTTTTTCTTTATTGAGACAGAGTCTTGCTCTGTCGCCCAGGCTGTAGTGCACTGAGGCGATCTCGGCTCACTACAAGCTCCTCCTCCCAGGTTCACACCAATCTCGCGCCTTGGCCTCCCGAGTAGCTGGGAGTAGCTGGGACTACAGGCGCCTGCCACCACCCACACCCGGCGGAGATGGGGTTTCACCGTGTTAGCCAGGATAGTCTCGATCTCCTGACCTCATGATGTGCCCGCCTCGGCCTCCCAAAGTGCTGGGATTACAGGCGTGAGACACTGGGCCCGGCCAACAAAATATCTTTTTAAGTTTTTTTGGGTTTTTTTGGTCTTGAGACAAAGTCTCACTCTGTCACCCAAGCTTGAGGGCAGTGGCAGGAACACAGCTTACTGCAGCCTCAACTTCTCAGGTTCAAGTGATTCTCCCCTCAGACTCCAGAGTAGCTGGGACTACAGGCACACACCACCATGCCCGGCTAATTTTTATATTTTTTGTAGAGACAGGGTTTTACTGTGTTACCCAGGCTGGTTTCACACTCCTGAGCTCAAGCAATCTGCCTGCCTCAGCCCCCCAAAGTGCTGGGACTACAGGTGTAAACCACTGTGCTCAGCCAAATAGTTCTGAAATGAGTTCCCCTCACCCTAGTGTGTGAAACAAAACAGAGTTGGCCTTAATAGCACAGCCTCTCCCTGCACTTTCAGAGCAGAAGCATTTCTGTCAGAGATGCAATGACATCATCTACTGATGAGAAACCAACAAGCAGTGTGTGACTGACTTTAATGTTTGAAATACACATATAATTTGGGGACGCTAGAGGCTAGCCGGATATGCATTCCTCAGACAACTGGAGTGTTGCCCAAACAGGTCATAGGGAAACAATCCCTAAGGTCCAATTTAATTACCTACCAACACTACTACATAAATATGTCAATAAGGCCAGGCACAGTGGCTCACGACTGTAATCCCAGCACTTTGGGAGGCGGAGGCGGAGGCGGATAGATCATCTGAGGTCAGGAGTTCGAAACCAGCTTAGTCAACATGGCGAAACCCACCTCTACTAAACTACAAAAAAATTAGCTGGGCATGGTGGCGCATGCCTGTAATCCTGACTATTTGGAAGGCTGAGGCAGGAAAACCACTTGAACCCAGGAGACGGGAGGTATGTAGTGAGCCCACATCGTGCCACTACACTCCAGCCGGGGCAACAGAGCAAGACTCCATCTCAAAAAATAGATATGTATGTCAATAATTCCTACAGAGAGCACAAAGAGATAAGCAGCTTTTTTGGAATTAAAATGCTAACTCTCAGTGAACTCTTGGTTGATAAAGATGGAGAGCCACACCAAGCAGGGTGACTCATGCCTGTAATTCCAGCACTTTGGGAGGCTGAGGCAGAAGGATCGCTTTAGGCCAGGAGTTTGAGATCAGACTGGGCAATATGGTGAGACTATCTCCACTTAAAGAAAAAAAAAAAAAATAGCAG